ACACGACGCGATGCTCGCATGACAGCTATGAGACTGCCTGGCGCGCGTCATTACGCGGATAGAAGCGAGTCGATTGAAACGCACAAATTGACAGGAATGAAAATTTCATAAGCACGCGCGATTAACGCGAGACAATACGTAAGACGCGTTAAAATATAGAATTTTGAAAGCAAATTAATCCCTTCGGTCAGACATATATACGTAAACGTACATCGTACTCGAAGGGTTAATAAATACGTCATCGGTGTATCCTTTGCAACAGGCTTTCTTCGTAAACTCTAAAATTTCCTTGCAAATCGACGACACCTACGAAACTATCCAACAGGCCGTCCAATAAAGCCTTTATATACGTCGACGATGAAAACAAATCGAATTCGTTCCGGTATCGATTCCCGATTCGCGCGCGCGTCCTTTTCACCCAACCACTCTCTACCTCTATAAACATCGAGCCATCCACGGCCATCATAAACTGCAAGATTCCCGATGCCGGTGAAAGCCCGAAGAATCTCCGCAGATTCCCCTATTTCGCGGTGGCCGTCCAAGAACGATCGATAATTCACGGTCGCAGTCAAATCGACCCCCAGCGATTCGCGGACACAGGACCCCCCCGATACGTGAACCGCGCGCGGCGACCCCTTTCGCGTTTCGGTCCGGTCGAGTTCCACGGGAACTCGTGTACCGAGGGGGCCGACGGAATTGCCGCGATTTCCGCGACCCCGAGTCGATAAACGCTTGGAATTGCGGACCGTTCGACGGCGTTGTTTGCGACGGCCTGTTAACCTTCCGATCGAGCTGACGCGCGCGATCACAGACGCCGCTAACGAGGATCTATCGCGAGAGTCGCGACTACGATAATCGGCCTTCGATTTCGTCCTCTCCGTCCCTCTCCGCGTACGCTCGTGCGTGCACCGCGAACGCAATTAATTAATAAGCCGCGTATCTCTTTCGTCGGGCGGCCATTGATAGCGGGCATTAATCGTCGCCCCGATACCGCCGCAATAATTACGCCTTTGTCTCCTTTGACGGGAACGACGCGAAAACGATATTTCCCTCGTGTCCGTGCCCCGTTCTTTTCCCCGGATAAAAAGTTCCGTTCTCCGCTCAGTGTATCATCCTCGGCAAGATTGCGGCGAATACTCGTCGGTAATTGGGTCTTTCGCTCGGTCGCGAATACTTATGCGACTCGTGTAAATGGATCGCGTGGTTGATTGATAAATCCGTGGGATATCGTCGACACGGTGAATGGACGTTCGCGGAGAATCTCTTTCGATTCCCCATCCAGAATAGAATATTCGTTCCTGCTATTTTATTTCTTTATTTTATTTTTTACTTTTTAATTCTATCCTACGAATGGAGTGTACGGCTAGTATTCGAAGCTTCCGCGTGTAAATCGCGTTGAACGGGACTTATATCCCGACATTGCACGATGTCGATATGTCATCCGACGTTTGACGAAGCTTTAGCCGCAAAGCTGGTGAACATCGGGATGCGCGTAATTTCCATTGAACAGGGCTTACACTTGCGAGTCTGAAATCATAGCGACTATACACGGAGCGGACTTACCCACGAATCCGCTCGCAACGGGGCCCACTGCGATATCCAACTGTCACTGTCCCTCGACGGGCAATCACGCGAATCTCGAATCTTCGAACAACTCCGAGAGACAGATCCTTTAGAAACGCGTGTCGGTTTTTCGCGAATTAAATCATCGCGACACTCCGCTCGCGAGTTCCTCCTCCTCGCTTTGGAACCTAATGCGCAGAAATGGCCGCCGCCCACGCGACTAACCCCCTCGCCCGGCGTTCTTTGACTCTCGAAAATCCTTCAGCGCCGCGTGTCTCGGCGAGGCTTCCGCCTGTGCGCGAGCGAAACGCTGGAGATCGCGCGATATCGCGCGCGACTCGCGAATTCCATCGACGCGGCTCGTGGACGATGAAAGAAGTCGGCGGAAGCGGCGGGACGAAAGCGAGCATCACGAGAAAACTGAAAAGCGTTGACGGGGACATTCAAAGGGGCGCGTGTCGCGTTCACGCGAACGACGACGACGACGACGACGACGTCGAGCAGAAATAAGAGGATCCATTGGCACACACGGCTCGCGGTTCCACGCTCGTCTTCTTTATTCGCCGGTCGGACAGGCGGGAAAAGAGAAGGAAGAGCGACTTTCTTTATCCAGCGCCGCTTCGCGGAGATCATTACGCGGGCAGGAGCTCGCGTAGAGGTCGGTTAGTCGTTAATAATGTCTGTCAAAGTGAAATAACGGGCCCCATTCCGCTGATCCGAGGCGTTTAGTCAGCGCGATCTTGTTCCGCGTAATCGTGGCTCTCGATTTTTCTCCGCACCCCCCGTCCCAGCCCTCGCCGTTGCATTTATTATCTCGGGCAGAATGAGTTCATGTGGCGCTCGATCGTTCCACGTATACACGCGTTATCTGGCCGGTTAATTGACGTTTTCATACGGAAAGTTTCCCCGATAACGCGTTCGACGTAGCCTCTCGA